GAGTCCCGCATCGGGCTCCCTGCTCCTTGGGAGCCTGCTTCTCCCTCTGCTTCTCTCTCTCTCTCTCCCCCTCTCTCTCTCCCTCTGTCTCTCATGAATAAAAAAAATAAAAATTAAAAAAAAAAAAAGAAATCGACAATGTAGGGATTATAGTGGAATTTATACCGAAGAAAAGTCTCTCCAACTCCAGAAAAACGTCTGAGATGCATGATACGGAATCATACCATCCTCTAGTGATGGTATACTTCTTACTCTTCACAATGATCCCCTTCACTCCTGTATGCCTGAGAAGGGAGGATACCCAGGACGGGGTTTCCAGGATACCCATGGGGCCATCTTCTTGTCTTGCTGGAAACAACAGCATACATGCCATGCACTCTGCAAACTGGGTTTCTAAGAAGATAACCCATTACAGATACTGAGAAAATTAAAGCAGGATCACTGAGTATATTCCAACTTATTCATGAAAATTTCACTTGCATTCCCAGAGGACTCTGCTCTATTTCATGCCTTTACCTTCTCCCATAAATGCTTCCAACAGTGTAACACTGTCTGGTTTATATTATGGTCATTTATTTCAATGGTTCTGTTATGTGGAACAGAGCCCATCTCAAAGAACAAATAGACTCAAGGCAATAACATAAGTCAAAAAATGTTAAGCACAAAAAAAGGCAATGCAAATGGTAGTTTTTGCACTAAAAGCTGGCATAAGCTCTCAAATTGGAGTTCTGGAAAGTAGACCTTTATGAGGAATTTTCCTCCTGAATCCTGGTTTCACCCGCAGCTCCATCACCTCAATAAGGCTTGCTATGGAGGCTCACTCTTCACACTCTCTCTCTCTCTCACACACACCATCCTACACACACGACAGTTGTTTTATGAGGACAAACTTATAACTATTAAGTTGCCTGGGGAGAAGAGACACAGATTCCACAGAACAAAAGTGAAGTCTTAGTATGAAGTCCTCCATTCAGTGCTGGTGGAACGTTTCCAGAAACACATGTCAGTGCACAGGTCTAAGTCACCGTGTGACAAGATACAACGTCTGTGGCTGCTGAGGAACATGAGAACACCTGGCCCCTTACTCACTACCTTACTAGAGACTCCCCACAAGCCACCAGTGAGCTTCCGGGTCTCGTTGGCAGCAGTACCCCCTTGAATCTCCCTCTGATCAACAGACACCCTCACACTATTTCTCCTCAGGTCATGGAGAAGAAATCCCAACCTTTGCGCAGAGTAACTGAAAAGTGAAAGCTTCAGGACTAACCCTTCCTTGTGCATTCAGTTCAATGGTCAAATCAAGTTCTTTCCACATAAATGGAATGTAACATGTCTGCGAGTGTAAAGTACTGTGAGGAAAATGTTCAGTATGAACATTTCATGCAGAAGGCTATTAACAAAGGAGATTTCGGGCACAGCAGGTGGAATTTACTATATAACTAGTATATATATATATATATAACTAGTATATTTACTCACATAACCTCCTTGCCCTTGATCTTCAGTAGGAGTTACAAGGACCCTTTTACAAACTTCTTCTTT